GCCAGGTATCGAACCCTGGTCCTGGTGCTTGCCTAAGCAGGCACTTGGTCTTAAAAATAAGCTGTATTTTAAAGTTTTTTTAAAAGCTCAGTACTGGGTTCAGTCCCCAGTCCCCCTCCCCCTACTTACAAACATACAAAGGTAAGGACCACATTTGTTTACTTTATGACTTCATGTAATTCCAAGATGAGATTCTTCTTTTTCTTTGTTTTGCAGTATTAGCAGTTGAACCTACAGCCTTTGCTTTCAGCCATATCCTCAGCCTGCCTGCCTACCTACCTACCTACCTACCCACCCATGAGACAAGGTTTCCCTATGTGGTTGAGGCTGGCTTTGAACTATATAGCCCAGACTGGCTTTGAACTCAGAGATCTTCCTGCCTCATACTCCCAAGTATTGTGATTCCAGGTGTGTGCCACCACACTTAGCCCTGACTAATATTTGTACCATTTTCAGATAGAGATTTAGTGATTCATTTTGGGCTCTAAAATGTCCACTTAGGGGGGCCTGGTCTTAGCTCAGTTGTTTAAGTGGCTGCTTCCACAAAGCTGTAAGTCTCAGGTTGCTGTAGTTCGAACCCCATAACACTCCAGCCAGCCAAACGACCCCTGAGGGCATTCCGAGCCAAAAAAAAAAAAAAAACCAAAATGCCCACTTAGGTCATTCATCAGCCCTGCTTATTCATTGCCAATCACTGCCTTTTCTGAATTCCCTTTATAATTCAAACTTCGCAAAAATCTAATGTTCATGTTTAATCTTTCATCTTGTAACTAATCCAAATAGTAAATTCCATAAGAATTAAGGTCATACATATAAATGCAGGTGTTCAAAAGAGTAGTCTATAAGCAGTACTGTAGTTTGGGGGAAAATTAATTTTCTAAATTCAGATGAACCTAATTTTGAATCATATCCAGTCACCTACGAGCTGTGTAAAATCTTAAAGATTATCTTACTTTCTAAGCATCATTCCCTCATAAACTGCTAATTGCTTACCTCAATTAAGTTGCTATAAGTAGCAAGAAAATATTCAAAAAGTACTTTACATTATTCTTAGCTCAAAATATTATGTTTTAATAATTATCACCATTAAATGACAGTCTTTCTTCATACGACCTCTTCCCACAGAAAACCTAAGTTGTGCATCAGATGGAGATGATTCCTATACATACTGTACTGTCCACTGCTAGTCTGATAGATGGGAGTTGGAACAGACATAGAAGTGACAGAAGGAACTCCAGGGTTTTCTCCGTCTCCTTTTCTGCCCCGTGTATCTTCAGAAGACAGGTCTTTCAAAATTTTTCTGTGAAAAAACAGAACTCTATTAATGTTGGTAATGAGAATGCCTTTACAAAAAGAAATTATAAAACTTTTCTCAATCTCAGGTTAAGGTACTGCAATTTAATTAGATGGTGACACATGGCTGTAGTCTCAGCTACTCAAGAAGCTGAAGCAGCAGGATCCCTTGAGCCCAGGAGGTAGAGATCAACCTGGACAACATAAGAACCCCATCTAAAAAAAAAAAAAAAGAAGAAGGTATGCTAATCTACTAGACATCTAATAAACTATTGTGTCAAGAAACCATTATCGGGCCAGGGAGATGGCTCAGTAGAACAAGCACTTCCCTGGCAAGCGTAAGGGTCTGAGTTCAATTCCCGGTTTCACCAAAATAAAAAAAAAAAGAAAGAAAGAAACCATTATCATTGGGCGGGCATGGTGGCATATCCCTGTAACCACAACATTTGAGAAACTGAGGCAGGAGGATCAGCATTGTGTTCAAGATCAGCCTCAACTATACAGGGAGACACCATCTCAAAAAACCAGGCTAGGCATGTTGGTGCATGATTGTAAATACCAGCACTTAAGAGACTGAGGCAGAAGGATTGCTGCCAAGTTCAAGGCCAGCCTGCACGACAAAGTGAGATCCTGCCTCAAAATCCTCCAACCACTAGGCATGGTAGCACACACCTATAACCCCAGCACTAGGAGGCTGAGGCAGGAGGATCAAGAGACCAGCCTTGGCTACAAAGTAAGCTCAAGGCCAGCCTGAACTGCATGCCAAAACCTTTATGTCAAAAAATTAAAATAAATAAATGGCAGGGTACTGCTGTGTGTAGCTCAGACTGGCCTTGAATTTGTGGTCCTCCTGCCTCACCCTTCCAGATTGCTGCATCACAGGTAGGTGCCACCACCTGGCCCCTCCATGACCTACTGTCTCCTCTAATCACTCTCCCCTACCCAACCTCCCTTCATTACTGAAAACTTCACTGTTTCCAAAGGACCAGCTTTTGATAACGTAATTTAGTTTTTTTAAATTTCACTGCCTGTTATTCTTTAGCATTTCCTTCTGCTCTGCTTTGCATTTACCCTATTTGGTAAATGAACTATTTCTTAGTTGTGCTGTTTAATTTCTGTGTATTTGGGGACGTTCTTGTTATATTTCTATTATTGGTTTCAAGTATAATGCCAATAGGATCAGAAAATATAATATGCATGATTTAAATTCTTTTAAAATTGTTAAGGTTTATTATGACCACAAATGTATGTATTTCTTAATGGACTTCTTTTTTGCAGTTGAATAATGTTCATTTTACAGGTGTTTGATGCAGGGCTCCAAAATGTCTACTTGGGTCCCACTGGTTACTGGTCTATAATCTGATTTTCTCACTCCAATTTCTACTGAATACTGAAACAGATATGCTACAGTCTTCAGCTATAGGTGGATTTATTTCTCTTTTTAATTATGTTAAAGTTTTATTTATTTATTTATTTATTTTTTGCGGAACCGGGGATTGACAGGCCCTTGTGCTTAGCAGGCAAGTGCTTTTCCTACTGAGCCATCTCCCCGGCCCTATGCTAAGGTTTTGACATGTGTACTTTAACATTTTTTTGTCAAGTGCCCACATATTTGTATTGCTACATCTTCCTGTTGAATTATCCCTATGTAATGTAATGTCCTTTACCTCTGGCAGTTTTCTTTGCTCTGGTTTACTTTGTATGATATTTTAGTTATCATTAGTGTTTTTATGGTATATCTTTAGCAATCCTTCAGTTTAGTTAGATCATTAACTGAAGTGAAACATTTTTAAAACTCCATCCTAACTATTTTAGTCTTTTTAAGGTAAACACCTTAGCAATCATTCATTTACCATACTATTAATGCATTTAAAGTATGTAATTCAATGTTTCTCAAATTTTGTCCCCTCCTAAAAGAAACTGAGAGCCAGACATGATGGCCCCCACCTATAATCCCAGCACTTCAGAGGCAGGACTGCTGAAGAGTTCAAGGATATCTTGTGCTACAAAGAAAGTGAAAGACCAGCATGAATTACAAAGCTAGAGCCTATCTCAAAAAAAAACAAAACAAAACAAAACAAAAACAAAAAAACTGAAAGAAACAGTATCTATTCACAGTCAATCCTCATTCTATTCTTCCTTCTCCCAAGCTTGAGGCAACCACTCATCTACTTAACAGTAATAGGAACTGAACCCAGGCTCCTGTGCATGGAAGTAAGAGCTCTACCACTGAGCTGCACCTCTAGCCCCATCTAGTGGACACTTTACATATACTATGCAGTCTTTGGTGACCAACTTCTTTCACTTGGTAATTTTAAGGTTCATCTGTATTGGAAAATGCGGGCTTGATGGTTAGCTCAGGTGCTCAAAGTGCAGTTTGGGCAAATCCCTAGCTTCACACCTGCCATTAAGGCAGCCTGAACTAGCCAAAAAACCCTTTACAAAAGAGAAGAGAAGGGGAAGGGGGAGGGAAAGGGCTCTGGAGG